TTAGGATTGGCCTGAGGTACTTATGAAGTTACCACTTATTTATTGCTAAACACTGCATTCAAATTTTTGTTTGTATCTTAAGGGTAAAAAGAAGCAAGATTTGAGTAACTGTGCATTTCTCAGTTAAAATCAATTACGGACTAAATTAACTAGCTTTGATTATTAAAATAATTGCAAAATAATTACTAATAAAATTATATTCTTTTAACTTTCACAGTCTGTTTTGAACCAAGCCATTTAATTTGGTTTAAAGAGTTAATTATGGCAGCAGGATATTTAATATCCTCTAGCATATGACAGCTTCAAAATATAAATATGGTAATTTATTGTAAAAAGAAAGCTAGGGCACATCATTGTTAAGGCAGTCCTTTTATCTCTAGAAAATGGAACTCATATTATGCTTTGAATCTCATGGGAGAAAATATGGGGGGAGGGTATGGAAGCAGCTTATCTTGTTCTTTGTGTTCATCAGAAAAGTATCTTAGCAAACTGGACTTCCAAGTGTTAAATAATGTGATAGTGTGAATAATTATGATCCAACGTTTTTTGTAAAGCTACATATAGTACTGGTGCTAGTGGTTGGTTTCAATATTTAATTTTATTACATTGGTACCTATTATTTATGACCTTTGTTTTAAAAATTATACGTAATTGTAGGAAATGCATATCACTGTGTAGCACAATTTAAGCTTTATGTTTTCTAAATGCACATATACTGTATCATCATTGTCCAATGTAAACACTGCAGATTTAACAATTGTATTTATAATAAATGGCCACCTTATATTCTTTTAATTAGAAACCTCTATAGACTGGAAATTTTATATATCTTCAGCTCAAAGCTACTTCATGTTTATATTGATATACAGGAGCCATTGCAAGTATCAGGCAGGTTTTTAGTCATAAAAGGAAGTCTAGATTATGTAGCTTTTTTAAAAAGTGCATTATATTTTCATTTTAATTACTTTAAAATTGATCGTCTAAATTATATGTAATATCAAGAATATGTTCACTGAGCATTGTACAATTTTATGAGTGTCTCAAATATCAAATTTACCCCTATGGGTACTGTTGTAATTTTTATAAGTAGAGCTGGAATATGATGTATTATTTAAATTTAAAAATTGCTCCGATGTCTGAATATGGGTTTTTTTGAGAGAGTATCAGCTATATTACATAGTCCCAAGGGATTTTAGAATAAATTAACTGTAAATTACATGAATTCATTACTAAGAAACAAAGACCTTTATTCATCTTTTCCAGGATCTAATTTATAAAAATAATCACTATCCTACTTATCTTCCATTTACTTTTTAGATTTTCAGCATAGTAAGAAGCAGTGCTAGTTATAACTGATTAATCACTATTCGGTAAGCATTTATTGAAAACCATTATGTGCAAACTAGGATGGTAGATGTTGGGGATAAAAAGAAGGTTAAGTCCTACTCTGAAGATATAAGTAGCTTGAGTGAGGAGACAGATATACTAGTAAACACCAGAGTGACAAGTGCTGTACTATCAGTGTGTATAAAACACTCCAGGAGCCCAGACAATCTTATATTACATATAAAAATATTTTAATTGTCAGTTATAGCACAAAGAAGTTTCCAAAGAAAATGATTTGTTTGTAAATACATAGGCATGGCATTCAAGACATACAATATAGTCTGAAAGAGGTTATGAAATCAGGTGCAACATTTATTGATTAACTATGGCAGTGGAAGTTGGAATAAATAGGCCAGAACCAGATTGCAATAAATCAAGAGTAAAATGTACCAAGAGTAAAGCCAGAGTAAATAATTAGGACTAACTTATAGAGTTAGTGAAAATTATAAAAAGAATTGATATATATATTTTAGGAAATAACTGGCTAGAAGATAGGTTGCCAGAATATTCCAATCAGTTTCACAAACCATAAACCTACTAAGTCAAATATGTCTCCTTTATCTGGTTATTCAGTGAAATTCTGTCAGTTTTACTTCCTAGATATTGCTTAAAATTTTGACATTTTTTTGTTCCATAGATATGATCAAACTAGCATTATATTACCTGAACTACTCCAATAGTCTCTAACTGGTCCTACTGTGCTATCCCGTTTCTCATTTAGTACATTGTTTAACAATATTTAGTAGGCATTACTAGAAATCTGCCAGCTTCCCTTCCCCCCTTTTTAAGTTCCAGTTTGTCTAGTGTAGTAGGTTGAATTGTGTCCTTTGAAAGGTAAGATGAATGCTCTGGTACCTATGCTTGTGATCCTGCTTGGAAATAGAGTCTTTGTAGATGTAATTAAAGTGTAAGTTAAGATGAGGCCAAACTGGCGTAGGGAGGGCCCGTTAGTCCAGTATGACTGGTGTAATAAAAGGAGATCATAAGAGGAAAGGAGATACAGAGATGCACGATGAGAGAATGTTGTGGATGATGGAGGCAAAGGTTGAAGTGCTGCAGCTACAAGCCAAGGATTGCTGGCAAACCACCAGAAGTTAGGAATAGGCAAGAAAAGATTTTCTGTGCAGGTTTCAGAGGGAGCTCTGTCAACATCTTGATTTCAGACTTCAGCCTGTAGAACTATGAGACAATAAATTTTTGTTGTTTTAAGGCACATGTGTCAAACACAAGGCCCGCGGGCCAAATCCGTCCCGCCAGGCCTTGCAATGTGGCCCGCACCGCGCTGTCATCACTGCACTCCGCTGCGTTTCCATCACAATGACAGTTTATGACTGTTCAGTAAACCATTCGGCCCGCGATTTAGGCTGGATTTTAGATTTTGGCCCCTTCTCTGATTGAGTTCGACACCCCTATTTTAAGGTAACCAATTTGTGGTACATATTTTGTTAGAGAAGCCTTAGGAACCTAATACAACTGGTTATATAGTTTTATCCTTTTAATCTCCTTATTTTTAGGTTTATCTCTTGTAAACAGTATTTAACTAGATTTATTTTTTTTTTTGTTGTTATGCTTTACCAGTATCTGTGATATGGAGTATTTTGTTTATTTGTACTTATTTTTATTCATATATATATATATATATATATATATATATATATATTTTTTTTTTTTTTTTTTTTTTTTTTGCCGTCTTATTTTGTTATTTATCCTACCTTTCCTATACTTTTCGCTTCTTCCTTTCTTCTATTTATATATTTTTTCTCTCTCCTTTTTTTCTCCTCAATTTGAAATTTTGTTCTTTTGGTGGTTACTCTTTCAATGGTTACAGGTCCGGCACTATTTCACCTAATGGACTTTAGCTTTTAGACTGAGGGAAGTAGTATGGTTTTTTATTTTTGTGTGTGTGTGTTTGGTTTTTTTTTTTCTTTCTTTTTTTTAATTGAAACCTGGACTGCTGGACATTATAAGACTTTGGGTCTTGTCTTATTTAGGCCTCCTGTTTTAGCAGGCCTCCCTGACACACTCTAGCAGGGAAAGGAAATGCCGTCTTGTTATTGCCAGGTGGGATGGAGGCCCTTTGTAACACATGAATGGGGGAAATGGATGCCCCTTGTTTCTGCTGGGCAGGGGTGTAAGTTTCAGAATCCTCATGTCACCTTTCCACAGACTCTGTGTTCGAAGCAAGGTAGCAGGATAACCTAGTTGGCGGTGAAAGTCCTGATCCTTCTAGACCACTCCATTGAGAGATGGAGGGGTGTCTCTTTATTGCAGGGTGGGTGTGGAAGTCTAATTTCTCTCCATGGTCTTCACTTACATTGTGGTTGGAGGTGTTTCATATTCCTTGGCTCCCCAATCAGCTTTCTCTGTTCATATCCTGGCCAGGTTTTGGAATTCTTTGTTATAGTCTGTAAGGATGGAAGTATAGGTTTCTCACTTGGCTTCTGCTGTGAGGGCTGGGAATGGTCAGGTGTTCTTTTTTTGTTTGTTTTTTAATCTTCACCCAAGGAAAGATAGAATGTATTGTATTGAAAAATAACTTCAGTATTTTCCTATAATTTCTATTTTTTATTGATTTTTAAATTTTATTTTAGAAAGAGAAAAACATTGATTGGTTGCCTCCTCTATGTTTCCCCACTGGAGATCAAACCCACAGTTGAGGTATGTGCCCTGACTGGGAATCGAACCCTCAACCTTTTGGTTAATGGGATGATGCTCCAACCAGCTGAGTCATTCAGCCAGGGCTATTGGCAGTTTTTAATGTGGTGTTGCACTAAAGTAGAGTGATAAATTCCTGAAAGTTTTTTGTTTGGCTAGGTTGCCTCTTTCCTGGATAGAGAGAAAGCTTTCTGGGGCATTTTCTTGGGCAATGTCCCATTGACATTTATGGCTTCCTGTTATCTCTAGAACTCAGTCTGAAATATATGAAACAAAAAGAACACCCAAGTTCATGGCAATCTGTTTCTTGGGCCCTGAGCTCCCTAGTTGGACTGCCTTCTTCTCTCTACCTTTTAGTGTTTTATATATTTCTTAGATATAAACTAGAAGCCCTATGCCCGAGAATTCATGCAAGAGTAGGCCTTCCTTCTCCGGGCTGCTGGCACTGGCATCCCTCCAGCACCTGGCTTCTCTCCTTTGGCCGCCAGCAGGCACCTGGGACCCTCGGGCCCTGGTTTCATCAGGAAGGATGTCCAGAATGACATCCAGTCTAATTAGCATATCACCCTTTTATTATTATAGATGTCATTGGTTTTTAGTTTTACTTAGTGGTAGAAATAGAGAAAAGTTTATCTACTCCATCTTCCTGGAAGAAGTCCCAGAAATATATAATTTAATTCACAGAAATTTAATTAAGCATAACCTTTTAAGAACTGTTGACACTATAGTTGCTCACTAATTACTTATTGAATTGAATCAAAAGTGATGCATATGTCTTTAGGAAACCTGTTTGTCTTTGAAAGACCAGTCGGGAGCCGAAAACCACAATTACAGGCTTTATTAGGGGAAAAACTTGCCGGGCTGTCTTGCAAGGGGTGAACAGCAACCTATGCAGAGGTGAGCACACCTTTTGAGGGGAGGAATGGGAAGGAATGGGGGATTAGGGTACTGATCGTGCGTTGACTAGTGGCTTGGTGTATAGTCCATATAAGGTACTTAGGGACAAGGGCTTAGGATATTTGGCAGGTGCTGATTGGTGGTTCAATGTAGAGTCCTTACAGGTACACGGTTAGGCACTCAGGTATTTCCGGGCTGCAGGTAACATCTTACTCCGCCCACCAGTTGGGGGAAGGGAGGATCCATCAGTCTTAATCTATGATATCTGTGAATTGAGAAAAAGAAGATGCAACATTTCTACTAAGCTAGTTTTCAAATATATCAGTGTATGTACTTCTTAGTAAACATTTGTGGTTTAGGTTAGGAAAGATAGAATGTATTGTATTGAACAATAACTTAAGTCTTTTTTTTTTTATGATTTCTGTTTCTAACTGGAAACTGGTTCATAGTTAAATTCATTTTGGTCAGTCATTTATACTTTAATTTTGTTGTGCTCTGGATTGTTAAAGGGGCCTGTATTTTCTTACAAAACCATAGATCACTTTTGGAGCTGGTGAGCTAGTCAAAACATCTATTCTAACATTTACTCTTATTATTAATTAGAAAGTTACTCCATACCCTTTAAAAGGTGAAGGTCAGATGTGTCAAGTGATTTTCAACAAATACTATTAGAGTATTCAGTTCAGATTTTATTTTACTTTTTAATATTTTTATTGATTTCAGAGAGTAAGGGATAGGGAGAGAGAGAGATAGAAACATCAATGAGAGAGAATCATTGGTTGGCTCCCTCCTACATGCCCCCTACTGGGGATCAAGCCCACAACCCAGGCATGTGCCCTGACCGGAAATCCAACCATGACCTTGACCTCCTGGTTCATAGGTCGACACTCAACCACTAACCCACTCTGGCTAGGCTTCAGTTCAGATTTTAAAAAAGCACTTTTTAAAAAGTTTACATTTTAATTTCACACTATTTTACCCAGTAAATAGTATTTCATGAGGAGAGACCATTATCTCCATTTTACAGATAAGAAAATGGAAAAATGTCATTTAGTTTATGACTTATCCAAGAGCATTCAGTGAATTGAGATTATAACTGGAGCAATAGACCAAGATTGGAACTTTAAATATTTTTTTTAACCACCATCAGTCCAGTAGACCATGCCAGTAACCAAATTAAATTTATATATCTTTCAAAATGAGAGCAAGGGAGGAAAAAGGGTTATCCAATTTGAACGTTAACATCAGACATGGTCCGTAAATATCTAATTTTTCAGTCTGATGCATCAATGTTTCATCATCATATTCTCTTTCAAATGTAACATAATAAAAATTCCATAATACAAGAAAGTAATTTCAAAAAATATTTTCTTAAGAAATATGAGTTATTTGAATTTTTATAATTTAAAGAAAAACTGAAAAAAAATACATTATGTATAACAAACATATATATTGGATAGAACATATATTTGCCATTATATATATATTCCATATCTACACCTTACATATTGCACATATGCAGTGTAAACTTATTGAAAATTTATGGTAGGTTTAAAAACTATCAATGCTATCATGTTAAAGAGTACTACTATGTAAAATAAGTTGGAATTTGGAAAATGGTTTATTTAAATTTCATGCCTTCTCAGTTAGTTTGGAATATTTATATGAAATATAGATATACTTTCTTTTTAGAAATGTGTTGATGGGAAGAATTTATCACTAAAACTTAAAGATCTAGGTCTAGATTTAGCTATTATTTTGATAAATATATTGGTCATGGAAGCATATTTTCAATATTGTCTTTGAGAATTAGATCCTGATGTAAGTTGATTAATATTGGAGATTTTTTCTTTGCTATTTTCCCCCCTCCTTTTCTCCTATTTCTAAGATTTTCTTTAGGTATTCTGTTGTTAAAATTCTAGTCAGTGTCAGGTGTTCAGACATTGGGTAAAAATGTATGGGTTTTCCTTTCATTGCTTTTATTTTGCACATTAGGTATTTTTTTAAAAAATGAATGGTTTTGAGGTGATACTCTAAAACTTTAAAAATAAAGTCTTTATCTCAGCTGTCCAAGATTAGGAATGCCTATGATGAAACAAATTATCATAAAATTTCCCCCCAAGTTTAAAGTAATTCTTCCACTGTTTAGTCCTGTAGTTTTTTTATTCACATTTACTAGCAACTCAGTGCACAAATTCGTGCACAGGTGAGGTCCGGCCAGCCTGGCCCCAGTTGCCCAATAGGTGGATCGGTGCCGGGCCTGTCAGGAGGAGGAGACTTACAAGAGGTTGGCCAGCCGGTTGGCCCGCCCTGGTGGGGGCCTGATCAGGTCTGGGCTGGCTGGGAGGAGGGGCTACAGGACGATTGGGGTGGGGTTGCTTATGGGGGGGGGTAAGGCCACCTGGGGGGAAGGGGCCAGAGGCGGTTGGCCACCTGGCCTTGTCATCATTGATCTGGCGGGGGGGGTGGGGGGCTATCTGGGATGGGGCCAGGCGGGGGAAGGGGCTGCAGGAAGTTCGTTGGCCAACCCTGCCCATTAAAGGGGTAGGGGGAGTGATCAGAGGTGTGGTCAGCGAGGGGAAGGGGTCTCAGGTGGTTGGCTGGCCAGCCCTGCCCTCAATCAGGGTGGGAGTGGCTGATCAAGAGTGGAGCTGGCCAGGGGGAGGGCCCACTGGTCTCACCCCCGATTGGGCCAGTTCACCAGCTGCAATTGGCGTCATAGTGACTGGTCATTCCTGTTACGGTGTTATGGTCACTGGCTTTTTATAAAAATTGAAGATTATATTTTGCCTTTTATAATAGTGAGCTGTTAACTTGACCCCCACAGTACCTAATTAACACTTTGCCTGTTCTCAAGTACATGTTTTGAATTGAATCTAGTTTCCTGAAGACAAGTGAAACATGTGATCCCTTTCTGATATTTGGTTTTTAAATATGGATATGTTGATTTTGTTTCTATTTCAACCTGCTTCTCATTGGGCTTTCAAATGATATATTTTTGTTTCATTTTCTGTTCATAGTTTTCTTTACCTGGTTAAGTTATTAAGATTTTGTTTTCCCAGTAATCTTTTAATTCCCATGATAAAAACTCAGATAATTATTGCCTATTTATTTTAAAGCATAAATTCCTTTCTAATAAAATACCATCTAGATGTCTAATCTAATCACAGTGCCTGACACTTCTAGGAGCTCAAAAAATTAATAAGTGGATGACTAAGAGAACTAATGGATGATTCATATAACCTGTGTGTTTAATAGTTTATCCATATAGATATTTATAGGTAAGATCACTATGAAGTATTTGTTACAAGTTCTTAATTTTTCTAACGTATTTTATTTTATTTTAATTGAATTTGATGAAGAGACATCTATATAAAGAGGTAATATGCACATGTGGCTAGTTAGGACTGCTCAGGAGGAGGCTGTGTGTGCAGGTGGGCGGGAGGGGACTGTGTGTGAGGTGAGGCAAGCCACGGATGGTGCAGGCCCACCGAGAACAGGGTTTCCCAGCCCCACGCACAGGCAGTCTCTCCTCTGCACGTGAGCTGCAGAGAAAACACCTTTTTTGACCACTCATTGGCTAAGCTCCCTTATGCCATTCGCAGTGTTCTTGGTAACTTGGGTAATAAGAATCCAAGAAGGTGATCTTGGGTTTTTCCACATTAGTCCTGCAGGAAAAAATGAATGTCCACTGCTGGAGGGGCTAAGGAATGTCATATCCTGCCCTAGCTGGTTTGGCTCAGTGGATAGAGTCTCGACCCGCCAACTGCAGAGTTCAGTCAAGGGCATGGACCTAGGTTGCAGGCTTTTCCCTGGCCAGGGCCCAGATCAGGGCTCATGTAGGAGGCAACCAATTGAAGTGTCCCCCTCACATTGATGTTTCTCTCTGTCTTTCCTTCTCTCTTCCACACTCTCTAAAAGTCAATGGAAAAATATCCTCAGGTGAGGGAGGGAGAGAGGGAGGGAGGGAGGGAGGGAGGGAGAAATGTTATATCCTATGAAAGAGACATCTTGAAAATGCCTAAAGAAACTTGTCATTTTTCGTGAAGGGACTGGACTCCGTGTTGATGAAAATACCTTGGCGGCTGTGGCAGCAGCAGCAGGGTGATAGGGGGTGGCTTCTTCCCCTGATCAGTCCGGTCGCCTCCTGGGAACCAGCCTAAGCTGTCAGTATAATATTCCCTGAAGGCTCCCGGATTGGAGAGGGTGCAGGTCGGGCTGAGGGACCCCCTCCCATGCACGAATTTCATGCTCCAGGCCTCTAGTTGGTTAATAAAATTATACAGGTTTCAGGTATACGGTTCTACAATGTATCATATGTATATTGTATTGTGTGTTTGCCGCCCCCAGTCAAGTCTCCTTCCATCACCATTTCTCCCTTTACCTCCTCTCCCCCCACCCCTAATTCTTAATTTTAATCTCCTAGTGTTACAGACTGATTCTGTGCATGAACATTCTACATGAAACCTGTTAACTTAATTAGGAAGTACCAGGTCAGTGGTGGGCAAACTCATTAGTCAACAGAGCCAAATATCAACATTACAGTGATTGAAATTTCTTTTGAGAGCCGAAAACTGACTTCTGTGCATGGCCACAAAGTTTCAGTCGCACTGTACGTGTGCGCCTGCATGTGGTATTTTATTGAAGAGCACTCAAGGGGCCAAAGAGCTGTATGTGACTTGTGAGCCGCAGTTTGCCGACCACTGTACCAGGTTAACATTGTAGTTACCCAAAGTAAGTTGATAGGGCCCATTGCATAAAATTATTATAATGAGATATAATATGTGTGAAAGGAGTCTGTGGATTATAAACCACTACACAAGGGTTAGTCTGTTCTTTAAGCAAGCTTTTATTATTAATATGGAACCAGTAATACATGTTAAAAATACTACTGTACCATAAATACATTTCCTATAATAGGTAATATATGTTTGAGCATATATGCTGGATTGTATAGATTGTCAAAATACACTTTTGCTAAGGTGTTTCCAAATCAGAATTATAAGTAATGATACATATGTATGTTTATACCTTGTAAATTATAAAATTTTAAGTTACCCAAATGATAACATGTTCTGTTTGTTTTCAATCAAACAGGTAAGATTAATATAGAATCTCTTTCTACAAAGAGAGTATGGTTTCTGTATTTACAATACTTATTGCATATTATTTACTTATTGCATATTATCTCCATCTTCTAACTTTCCAGAACCGTGTCCAGGCTCAAGCCTATTGTAGTTTGTTAGGCA